CTTAAGTATGTAACAAGTACGTCAACGTTACCTTTAGTAACTGCGGCTTTCATATTTTTAACGTCGATACGAGTTACATCCTTCTGGTACTTCTCCTTAACATGCACTGTTACTTCATCCGATGAGTGCGATTGCTGAAGAAGTGGTTCCACATTTTCTTCCTCTTCCACTGTTAGTCGTCTAAACCATGGGTCATTCTGCATGTACACCCTGCTGCATGGATGGTTATGTACCATCTTGTGGGAAGCAATTTTGTATTCACTACAACGCAAAACCACGAGAAATGAAGACGAGCAGTTGCAACATTTAGACCTTAAATATTCATGAAATCATAGTACACTTTTTCTTACGACTTGTTCTTCCATTTCAACCCAGGTCTTGTACGGTTCACTGCAAAAGTTCATTTAAAACCAAAATAAGCGTACTTAAATCTGTCATCCGGTATCGTTTTGCTATAAGTATGAATATAGTGAGTGCAGGATAACTACATTGTTAGCATTAAATTACTTCCTCACTTTTTGGAATTCTGCTAATGACTTCTCAGATTCATCCCAGTTGAAGAAACGCCTTCCAAGTATGAATTCACCGAAAATTCCACTTAAGTCTGTGCTCCTTTCACTCGAATTGACTACCTGCAACGGACTGAAATAGATTTATCAATTAGTATCCATCTATATCACAACTATTCCAAGATAATTCGTAAAAAACAACATTGAAATACAGGAATGATCAATAACCAACAAGAAAATACCGCACGTATAACCTAAATTACAGAAAAACACAAGAACCCACCGGCTCGTTGACATCGCAAGCAACCGATAGTCCAAAAAACGGAGTGCATGACAAACCAAGCCTAGTGCATGCACAAACAAAGAAAAACAAAGCGTTACAATAGTCAAATTTACGTTTATACTCATCATATATGCTGACAAACGACGCAAACACAACCACACCAAAACAGCACCCGATAGCACCCACCAAGGACGATTCAAAACCCAATTGACCACCACTGTTCTAGCCTGTGAAAGACGGGATAACCTGAGTCGCGGAAAGTATAACAGGTCATAACGTATATCCTCACCCTTTCCAGTGGTAAATTCAGTGGCATAATAGGTTCTTGGGATGTAGTATATCGACGTGGTATCTGATTCTTATGTCTTATCCACCATTCATCTCCAACTTTAACCTTGTACATTAGAGTTCCATGTCGACATTCTATCAAGCCCTCCGCCCATTTTTTGTTCCTCGGTCGATAATCGCACACATAAATGGCATCACCTTTGTGGTAATACTTCAGACTATTTATTCGTTGATGTGACGAAGATGGCAACATAGAGTGGTGATAATTTCGCAGCATTCGACCCATCAGAAGTTCTGCAGGGCTTTTATTCTGTTCTGCCAGTAGTGTGGTTCGGTATAGAAAGAGAAAGTTTTGTATTGTTTCCTGTTTTGCCCCCCTTCTTTCAACAAAGCTCGTTTGAAAGTGTCCACAAATTTTTCTGCCTGACCGTTGGATCGAGGGTGATAAGACGGCGTCCGCACGTGTTGTATACCGTTTCTCTTGAAAATTACTGGAACACTTGTGAGGTGAACTGACTGCCATTGTCAGATACGATGATTTCTGGTATACTGTGATATGCGAAGATCTTTTCAAGGACTGATGCTGTTCTGCTGCTAGGAGGAGAGGTAACTTGCACTACCTCTGGCCATTTTGAATAAGAGTCCACAAGAACCAAGTAGTATATACCTTCTATCAGCCCAGCAAAATCCAAATGTAGGCGGGACCATGGTTTTGACGTGGGCCATGCTCTCGGTGACTCCCGCGGCGGATCTTTGGCTGCAACTTGACACACATGACAGCGGTTAACAAGATCTTACATGTCGGCATCCATACATGGCCAGTATGCATATCTATGGTCGGCCTGCAAAATTTGGGCTACCCATATCCATGCTGAAAATTCCATACTTATACCAAAAATACAGTGTGGAATCAAGCTGTAAATAAAAAATAAAAGATAAAAAAAAACTTCTGGCTATCGACTTCATACGTGCAATACCCGAATGCCCACTGTGAAACTGCCTTAAAGCAGTCATATGTAAAACTTTTGGTACGACTACACTTTCCCCAAACATCAGGCACTCATTAACAATGCTGAGACAGTGACGGCGCGGAATAATTGCTTAAGATCATGACTTGGGACTGATTTTGGCCAAGAAGTCTTTACGAACTGTATTGCTTGCTGTAGAATTGCATCTGCTCTAGTTGTCTGTGTTATTACTTCTGACGTAATAGGAAGCCGCTGGATGGCCGGTGTTAACAATTTATTAACATCGTTTTCTTTCTTCACTACCGCTATAACTGATTCTTCGTTAGATGAGGGATAGTTGCTTATGGGACGTGTTAGTGCATCTGCGTGGCCGAAATCCTCCGTTCGACGATATCAGATATCAAATATTTACAGCAGGGGTTTATGGCCTGTTAGTAAGGTGAGTCTCCCCCCCGTATAGCATTTTATGAAATCTTTGAACTGCCTAAATTAATACCAGGGCATCTTTATCTGTGCGTGGGTGGCACAGTGGTTAGGACTCTCACCGACCATGCACATGGTCCTGGCTTCGATCCCCTGCCGACGCACACCTGATATCTATGGTCGGCTTGCGAAAATTGGGCTACTGATATCCATAATAGAGGTTTTTTGTATTTCCCAATGAATGAAAAAACAAAACGAGATTGTTTTTACTGACGTTTCGCTATTTAATGCTAATAGCTTTCTCAAAGTATTATTAAACCGGAATTTACAAAATCTCAGCATATATATAACAAAGAATTAGGGGGTGAGAAAAATATAGACTTAGTTCAACTTAAAAGGACATATTGAAAGTCAAAATAACAATGAAGATCGTTCAAACCAAATATCAAAGTTAATAGTATATCTGTTATTATATCAAATAAAGTTTACTAACTTGATCATCGTTCGTTAGTCTGGGGTCATTTTTGGTTGTCAAGTTCGAGAATAGGTAAAGGTAACTGTGCGTCGGTGGCACAGCGGTTAGGACTCTCGCCGACCATGCACATGGTCCGGGGTTCGAGCCCTCGCCGACGCACACCTGATATCTATGGTCGGCCTGCGAAATTTGGGCTACCGATATCCATGCTGAAAATTCCATACTTGTACCAAAAATACAGTGTGGAATCAAGCTGTAATAAAAAATAAAAAATAAAGTAAAAATAAAAACTAAGTGTAGAATGTGAAATACTTGATTATCGTTCGTCAGTATGAGGTCATTTTGGTTGTCATGTTGAAAATTTCGTACTTGTACCAAAAATACAGTTTGGAATCAAGCTACAATCAAAATATATTAAAAAATATTTTCGGCTACGGAGAGAGAGCGGGAGATATGGAAGACGGCTTTCTGTGTTCCGTCAAGACTCTCATGCAGTAAAACTGCACCAACTCCAGTAGCTGAGGCATCAGCTGCGACTGGGATGGTGAGTTTCGGATCGTAGTGTGTTAGTAACAATTCTGAGCTGAGGAGACTCTTCAACTTTTTTACAGCTTCATCACACTCTGTAGACCAAATCCGCGGATGATCTTTTTGTAACAGAGGGTTGAGTGATTCGCGGATGTTGTATAATGATGGTAAGAAAGCTGAATAGTAGCTAATCATTCCCAAGAAAGAGTGGAGCGTAGACGCATCTTTCGGAGCTGGCATCTGCTCGATTGCCCAGATGTTCTCAGAGTCAGGCCGTCATTCATTTTCATCGAAGATAAAACCCAAGTACTTTACAGAAGTGAGGAAGAACTGACATTTTTCTGCTCTTAGTTGTAGTCCACCGTCGTCAAGTTTCCGAAGCGCCAGCCCCACTCTTTGTCTTAACTCCTCTGGAGTAGCTGCGACTGTAAGATTATTGTCAAAATACTTAGCAACTCCGGGAATACCAGCTAACGTCGTGTCCATCAATTGCTGAAATATAGCAGAAGCCGTCTTGATACCAAAAGGCAATCTGTTTTATTGATATAACCGTCGATGGGTATTTATTGTTAATAGCTCGCGACACTCAAGAGCAGACAAAAAGAAGAAGAGAAACCTTACACTAACAAAACTCCGGCAGTTCTGAGAATAAGAACCATCCTTCATAGCCGAATCGTGCCTCTGATGGGACAAAGCGAATAGTCGGCAAGATTATGCCAGAGTGATTACACTTTTTGCGTGCGTTATTTGACCTAATTAGCGTGAACATATTTCCTAGTACTTCTTCACGTTGATTAATGTGCAGAGACGTGGCTACTCGACGCCAACAACGTAAAATCCAAAGGCACTTGCGAAGAGCACGATCGTGTATTATAGCAGTAGTCAAATTTTAAAATTAAGTCAAGGTAATATTCAACAGTAAATTGACAAATGGTTGCGAAGTACATATAAAATCGGTCTGTGTTATATTAACTGAAACATGATTCTTCTCAAGTAGAGCATGTAAGCTTACATTTGAGGATCCACGCAAGCTTCTTTGCTGCAAGCAACTAAATATTAAAATAACCCTAACAGAAAGGTGGCGGTATCCGCGCTTCTAGATGTCTTCAGACAGATAAATCTCTCATGTTTAGGTTAATGGAACTGATGGAATACTCTTGAAGTACATCCTTTCTTCTCTAGAGAGTTAACTTTCACCCTCTGATTGTGATTTCGCCTGCTTTTTCTAGAGATTTTGTGGTAAAATTAAGCGAAATAAACTATGCATTCAGTGCAATTCTGCAGTATAATAGGCACAAACCAATCTCACCGTCTCTACAATGGGTACTCTTGAAGACTTGAATGGCATCTAGTGAACTTGAAAAATCACTCTAAATACCAAAATAAATCAAATAAGTTTAAAAATTTTTCTAAAAGCCTTGAAAAACTTCAAGTTTTGAAGAAACTTTGATTTTTGGTTTTGTTTGTATGAACGCCCTGGGTTATGTACATATCCTGTCAGTGGTTATCCATCAAGATTATCCGCAATGGCGTCTCAACCTAAGGTACCTCGTCCCAGTAATGATTCGGGCGCAGATGGAGAACTTAGTAAGTATTGTAACCTGTTTGTTCTTTTTTGTCAAAATTTTTGTTATATTATCATATTATATTGCTGTTAGTTTGTTCCGCTAACATCAGCTTTCTGTTCAGGTTCCACTAATGCTCTTATAGATGAAATAGAGGAAGTTCAGAATGCTATAGATAACCTAAACGAGCAAGCCAGCGAAGAGATCCTTAAGGTTGAACAGAAGTTCAACAAAATGAGACAGCCGCACTTTGAGAAGCGGTGTGAATTGATATCCAAAATCCCCAATTTCTGGCTTACCACATTCATTAATCATCCCCAACTGTCAGACTTGCTTACAAATAGTGACGAGAATGTATTGAAGCACTTAAAAAAAGTCGAAGTCCAGGAGTTTGAGGACATTAAATCTGGGTTCCGAATCAACTTCGTAAGTCTCGTTGGGTAGTCATTATTGTTATTGTTTCAGCATTTCGAAAAGAATGAGTTTTTCAAAAATAACGTACTCACAAAGGAATTCCACCTTGGCGATAGTGGTGAACCATCGTCCACATACACCAAAATTGAATGGTACCCTGGGAAGGATTTGACAAGTAACTCATCCAGTTCACGAAAGAACGGTGGTGAGCAGGCAAAAAAACGGTCGTTTGAGGAGCAGACTCAAGATAGTTTCTTCTGTTGGTTTACAGACGAGTCCTCAGTATTCGGCGACGAGTTGGGCGAAGTTATAAAGGATGATATATGGCCAAATCCACTTCAATATTACCTCTCGCCAGATCTAGAAGACGAGAATGGTGAGTTTTTTGTTTTTTTGACGAAGTCAATTCTTATTCATCGCTGTTAACTAATGCTAATGGTTTAATTTCATTTAAGAAAACGACGAAGAAGATGAAGACGACGATGATGATCAAGATCTTGACGAAGAAGAAGGCGGAACAGCGGATGTTTAAAGATCATTGCAATATATCATTTCATTTTAACCTTCAATGTTTGTTTCCAAAACGTGTATGTCTTCACATCTGCATGGAACTGTGTTCGAGACGATTGATTTACTGTACAACGGCAAATAACAGACTGTTTCCACACTTGTACATCGCGCCCCGGTTTAATATTCTACTCTTGAATACGCCCTTGCGTCATTTTGCATTTAATTGTAGCTATCGTTATGCCGAGGCATGTTCATGTGTTGTTTGTTGGCTTTAATTTAACCGTTTTTACGAAGATCAGCGTTCTTGCCGTTCATTCTGTTCCAGGCGGTGTGCGTTATAAGATTCTTTTTGTATCAACACTTTTCGACACGTGAGGTCATATCAAAAGTTCTCCAAACTAAATGTTTCTGTAATAAACAGTTATGAAGGATGGTTCTTATTCTTGAAACAGCCTCCAGAGTCTGGTGTTGTGAGCAGCTGTGAAGCATAAGAGCGTCTGTGACGGTCAGTGAGGGGCGTATTCAGTACGAGCTATTCTTCCTTGAGATTATCTCTCTGGGAATGCTTAACGAGCGGTCTATGCTTTGGCTGCCTGAATGAAATTTGTCGGACCCGTCATGTCCGTGATGCGAATATTTTCCCCTGCGAATATAGTTATATCGCGCTGTGCCGTGAACACGGTGTGGCTGAAAGCAGTCGGGTTTTTGTTGACATGGTGTTCAGAAAGTGCATCTCAGGTTGCGTGAATATAGATACAGGAAAAAGTTATTCTGTTAGAAACCTAAACAACATGGATGTGGTGCGTCGTCAGTGGGAACTCATGCAGGTATGAAGGATGTGACTGTGTCGTGATATGCCAGATCCTTAATATAAAACATATATGTGTTGAAGAAAGGTGTAGTCGGCTGTTCCTTTCGGCATCGAGCTTCTGATCTGTCTGGTCCTCGCTTAGTCTTCGGTTGTGCTAAACATTCGAAGAACAAGCTATGATTGTGTACCATCTGTATTCCCTGGACTGTAGTAGTACGATCAATAATGTAAGGTTCATGTCATGAATGCATTCTTTTGGTCACAGCATGTGTGTGCAGGCGTGTTTTCGATTTTCGTCTGTGTCCAATCTGAGGGCGATGGATGTGCTGAAGATGTGGCAGTTCCCACCATGTGTCATACCTACGGTGTTTATCTTGACAAACAGTCTTACGTAATGTTATTTGTTGTGGACATAATCCTAAAAAGTTGGAGTGTTTATGTCTGATAAATGTAGAGCTTCATAGTTATTCAGGTGAATGTGATCTGTGGCATATTACTTTAGACCCGAAGCGGTGGCAGTACTCATGGTCAGACATAAGGCGGAGTTTTCTTGAATATTACAAACCATACTTTGGATTTGAGATTGACACTCAGACAAGCATATATTGCAACATGAACGTGTTTCTCAGACCGTCTCCCTTTCCGAACTTGACTAGATGGATTTGGATATGCTTTTCAGTCGCGTTGCAGTGGTTGGTATGAGTCGAATGGAAGCAAAACACGTCCAGCAAAGAGTCTCCTTGGTGGTTTGTTTTAAGAGTGAATTTTATTTCTGGATAGTAGCAGATTAGGGTCATTGTTGTTGTCACAAGTGATGAATATGTCGACCAACTTTGTTACCACCATAATTTCATGAACACCTATTTACCTTGACTGGTTTTGCTTAACGTAACTCCATTTGCCAGTCTTCAGCTACTTAGTTGATATAACCGTAACCAATTTATTTTGTTTGACAACCTTCATGTACACATGCATACAAAATAATAAATTTGCGATTTTACAGCTAAGGAAATGAAATTACCGAAGAGACTCTTTTCTAGACGTGTTTTGTTTTCTATAACTTACTTTAAGTGTATCATCCTGGAGCTGCAGCAGTCTGTCTACAAGTGATTTCTTCTGGTTGATCTAATTCTCGTCAAATTGAGAGGTGGGGATTGTTGTTTTACACCCGTTCTAGAATATTTTGATGCCACTTAGCTTTTCGGTGTAAATTAGATTGGTGTGTGTTCTGTTGAAGCTTCCTTGTGTACGGTCTTCGGTTCTGTAGGCGTAGGCGTGACATCCGGCCATCAACCAAGGGACGTGTGTACTGCTCAGCAGTTCGCTCCGTCCTTCTCTATGGCTCTGAAACATGGCCAATACGAGTTGAAGACATGGAAAGGTTGATTGCTTTCGATCATAGATGTCTGCGATCTCTGTCTCACGTTAGGTGGTTTAATAAGGTAAGTAATGTTGACGTTAGGCGTAGAGTGTTGGGCAAAGAGGGAAAATCAATCGACGAGGCTATAAAGTTACATAGATTGAGATGGCCAGGTCACGTGCTGCGCATGCCTAGCCATCTCCTCCCCCGACGGGCATTGCTAGCTGATATAGGTTAAGGTTGGAAAAGAGCCAGTGGTGGCCAAACAAAAACATGGCCTCAACCCATGAAATCCTTGACAGCTAAACTGAGTCAGGTAGGGTGATACAGACTCCCAGGTTGGGGCCCTCGGGACTCTAGGAATCAATGGCCGGAGACAATAGGTGACATGGCTCAAAATCGTTGTCAATGGCCAGCGCAGATGTATTCAGTCTCTGTTTCACTCTTATACTTGTCAAACTCTATTGATTCTCTTCACTCATCTTCTTGTCTACCTCTGTGTGCTATTTGGAAGGTGGCAACTCGAACTGCTGCACTTCGGTGCCAAGTTCTATGTTGAATCCAGACAGGCAGGTTCTGTATAGGTTCATGAGGTTTTAATTTTGCTGTTTGCCCTAGTGGTACTTCTCTATATTTATGAGTTGTTCAACGTGTTCACTGTTTGCTTATGATAACATTTCGAGTATAGTTTTTCCTTCTGCCAAACGTTTTGTGTCGGTGACATTTGAGAATGATTTTATCCACGATTTCCTTAGCGTCTCTTCCCTTTATATATGAACCTCAAGTTTTTTTATTGGCATTTTATGGTGCTGTGATATGCACGCTAGATTTAGGAAGTTTTCATATGATGTAGCAGCAAAACGATATGCATCTATCAAATGACGTAGTACGGTAGTAGTTGTCATAGAGATATATGAGAAAAAGTTACTTGCTGTTGAGTTTAGGTCTCTGCGTTAGGCGTAATGTCAGTAAGGAAGGATAATAAACCAGTGTTTGAGTCGATTCAGTTGGTTGAAACACGTTTTATGGATAGGGCAATACAATAATCCTTTCACCAGTACATAATGCTGAGAGAAACGATATGGGAAGGAGTTAATAATGGTCAAACGAAACTTGGCATCACTTCATGAAGTATTCAAATGTTGCTTTGGGTGATGTAGGGATATGCAGCCCGCTTGTTTCGGGTCTTTAGGAAGCTCGAAAACTGTTGGTGGCACAGCGAATAGGACGCTCGCCGACCGTGCATATGGTCCGGGGTTCAGTCCCCGGCCGACTCACTCCTTTACCTTGCTAAGCCAGCAATAATGCTGGTAAAGAGGTAAGGTTGGGCATGAGGCTAGCAACCCCACCCTGTAAAATAAACAGTGCTACAGGAACTTCAAGCCTCTAGCTTGAAGCCCTATGTACCATTGGGGAACGTGAAGGAATTATTATTATTATTAAAGTGTCTTGAGATTGTTCGTGATATGGCTCAAAGCCGTCGTCGTTCGTTAGTTTAGCTCACGGTACGTGTTCACTCATAACCATCGGAACTTCCTGCTTCCTAATCTTCCTCTTCTCTCATGTATATATCCTACCCATACTAGTTCTTTGGAGATCACCAGTTACTAACCAGTGTTAAGCATATATATATATATAACTTCGCGTGGTTGACTAGGTCGCTAGTTTTCCAGCTGGTCCCAAACCCGGGTAACGAGGGGAGGGGTGCGGTTTGCGACCCCACACCACTAAATCATCAAAACGCTAGAGAAACTTCAACCTACTGAAAATATATTATAAATACAAAAGCTTAAAGTAACAACAATCTTCTTCGCTCGAATTGGAGAGGCGAAATGTCACTGTGGGCTGGCTGGTGAAAGCCTTCAGGAAGCATATGAGCCAGTCGATGTGCCTTCTCTAGATTGAAGCAAGAATAAGGATGGGTATGTGGAATGTCCTACAATGTAGGAGACTGGGAAGACTGCCGAAGTAGTCAAAGAGATGCGAAGATATGGCTAAGCAGTACTGTGTATCTGCGATCGCAGGAGGAATGGATGTGGATTGACATTATGAACTGGAGAGTCTATAATTTTCTCCGGTCGCCCAGACGACAACCATGAACACACCTAGAGAGTGGCTATCATGATGTCAGCGATGACATCCAGAGCTCTAACGCCGTGGGAACTAATCTCATTCAGAATCATGACAGCAAGATTCAGTTCCAAAGGAAGGAAGGAAGGTTACAATTATCCAATGCTAAACCGTGCCTACAAACAATGCGGAACAAGAGAAGAATGAAGATTTCTTTAGACAACTACAAACAGTAATTGACAACATCTCAGATGGTGACATTAAAATCCTTATGGGCGATATGGATGACAGATTTGAAGCAGATAATACAGGAAGGGAACTCATCATGGGTCGAGAGTCTGGCGGAAAAGTGAATGGGATAGGAGGATTATTCACGGACTTCTGCTCTTTCAACGGTTTGGTGATCGCAGGGAGCGTGTACAAGCACAAGGAAATACACAAAGCAACATGGATTTCGCCTGACGATTACACCAAAAACTAGATAGATTTCATAGAAAGTGGAGACAGCCTACTGGATATAAAGTCAAGAGGGGGAGCAGATTTTGGCTCAGATCATCATCTAGTTTAAGGAACCTTCAAAGTCAAAATGAAATCCTTCAAAGCAACTGGAGACAGGACAAAATTCTAGTTCAACCCTTAAAAGCTGAAGGAAAAATCTACAAGGGATGCGTTCACTGCAAATTAGATCAGAAAAGTTGGAGACATTACCTTGTGTTACCAAGGAAACTTGCGTGGAAGTATATTAGAACTCTCTGAAGGTGATTTTCAGTAAACGTGTACT